GTGTATGAAAGTAAAGATTTCACCCCACCCCACCCCCGATTCTACATTGTACATGTGCGTGCATGATATTAAAATTGGCAATTAATTTAAAAAAAAATAATACTAATAATGATAACAGTTTTCAGTAAATTAGAAAATACACTGTAATACATATAATGCTGTTATATTAACGTGTGCGTGTACAAAACATTTTTACTGAAAATATTCGGTAAAGTTGCTAGGTATGCAAATTCCTTTGATCGTTATTTTTATAGTATTAATACATATCTTTTTTTATTTTCTGAAAAAAATTCAGTTTTTGATATGTATGCCAACTCCTGTAATTGAACTGTCATATCATAGACAATAAAACCTTTTTTCTATATTGCTAAAATTCGGTCCTATAACACTCTATAGGTGTCTGTTTTAAACAATAATCAAATAATATCAAGAATTTAAGGTTCCATGGAGTTTTAAATTTTGTTCTCTTAAAATACAGACATTATTCAACTAATATACAAGATAAATTCGCTCTTTCCCTCTCGAAAATCAAATGCTCGGTATCTCGTTCTATTTCGACAGACTTTCCACCCATACCACATAGCTATCTATTACTTTATTTCATTAAAAGTATTTTATAAATTTCAAGATGCACGATCGCATGTTTATCATATTTTCTTTGTTGTACGATCGCATATAGAGTTGTTGCCGATCGCCAAAACGTTTGGCATGTGTTCACTTCAAACCGTTATTACAACGCTTTCTATTTGATGAAGAACTTCAAATCGGATTTAAAATTTATTATTTACCTATTTACAATTCAAATGTGCCTTTTGGACTGTCGGGTATACGTAATAAGGTAAGAAATACCACTAAAACGAGCTTCATGTGTCACGTTAGGGCAGTCATGTTCAAGGAAAACTTAACTTTAACATAATATATGGCGATTTTTAATGCTTAGAGGACTTTTATGGTGTTAAACATGTCTAGTGGCATTTAAAAAGTCAGAAATGTTGAAGGAAAATTGCGAGGAAATAGGACAAAATAATGTTTTATTTAACCTCATCTTCCTCATGGAGTTGAATTTAACTATCCGCGTTGCCGATCGCATCCGCGTTGCCGATCGCGCATTGACAGGGGTGATTGTAGGTACCAATACATTATCCCAGTATGTGCACAACATATTGTTATAATTTCAGATAGCAAATTACATTGGTATAAATCAGGGATATGAAAATGGAGCTCAACAACTTGTAAGTAATGCTGTATGAGCAGAATCATTTCACTGGATAAATTATTCTCAGAAATTAAATCTCTAGTTATGAATTACATTATTCTTTTCTCATACTTGTCCAATCAAATCATGTCTCGGTGTGAATTTTATCTTGTTCACCACTAGATATTGATGTATTTTACTTAGTCAATTCACTAGTCTTAATGAAATTGACATTACTTGCAAAATTCTAAGAAATTTTGATAAGCTGGTTGATTGTAAATAAAGGCTATTATTAGTTGTTTCTGTACATGTATCAACTTTTATAGAACTTCTGGTTGTTTTGTGAGAGATTTACTCACAGTGATGTAGTGGCTCAGCTGAAGAGATTGGCTCAGGTCAACACAGAGATTGGCCTCTGTAGAGTAAGTCACAGCTCTAAATAAAAGATTTTATATATCGACTCTGATTAGTTAGTTAAATTGTTATTTATTATTGTTTTTCTCATATTTATAATTACTGGGTATCTATTATTTTATTTCTGCCAGGCCTGGATCAGGGTGGCACTCAATGATGGGTTGATGGAAAGTTATGTCAATGCTATGATCGCAGACAAGAGATCCCTGCAGTGAGAACATTTTGTTTTTCTTCAAATAAATTGTTATTCCTATAAATCAATTACGATTAAAAAGTTTGAGATATATTACAGTTGCATATAAACATTGATATGATTAAATTTAATTTTTTTACAGGTACTTTTATAGCAGTACATCATACTTTAGAGATCATGAACAACCAGGAATTTTTCTTTCCTACTTAAAAGGTATACATTTATGATCACAAACAATCTTTTGTCTCAAGGACTCTCTTACAAGCAAGTTTAACACTACCAGCTTCAAACTACCTATAGATGTTTTTTTTGTATGCTTTTTATAATGTAATCAATTTTCGTCTATCAAGTGAAGAATATAGGAAATTTTTAAACCATTGTCCCGTGTAATAACCAGATGTTTCCTCTCCTGTAATAGGACTGATGTCCTACGAGTTTCAGCTGTCCTACAACTCTAGTGTCCTCAATAACTGGCCTAACTCCTCGCTAGTCCTGGCGGGACTGATTGACGCTGAGAACACACCTCTGCCTGTCATTCACCCTAACAGAGGTAAGAGAAACATGTCAGTCAACCTGTATATCAGGTTTTTTCAGTTTTTCCCATCATTCAAGTGGTGTAAAAATTTTGTTAAATCTTTGATTGGTCACATAATGACTACAAAAGCTATTAATTTAAATGATGTAAAAGTTTTACTTATCCAGTGATTGTTTCAATTGTTAGTTAATCATTTTCATTTTTTATTATTCAGCAGCATCAGGAAAACCTGAAGTCATCCAAAGAGAGGAAGATGTGGAGACTATAAATCCAGTCAACAAACAAAAGGGGCGAACGAAAAAAAGATCGAGTTTGGATGATGGAGGGTTATCTCCCCTTCCACAAGGAAGGTCAGTGACTGAGTACAGTTCTGAGCTGACTCAGGAAGATGTAGACAAAATTCGCGGCATGAAGCCTAGAAATAAAACTAGGTCAGAGTGCTCCAGTTCTAGTCGAGTTTCGTGCCCTGACCCTGTTAAATACAACAGGAACCCCGCATCCTATGTAGGAGATAATGGACAGGACAGTGAACCAATGTTTGATGATGATGATGAAACAGGTGCTCTGTCAAAGGACAGTGAAGGTCATGATACCAGGGTCAAACAAAGTGATGGAAAAATGGATCAACTGTCTCCCAGTATAAATCTTACCTCGGACTCCGAGTTGAGTTCACTGGGGAAACCTTCGTTAAACGATCCGAGCTCTTATGGGGAACTGAGTTACTCGAGTGCCTCTGCTGAGCTGGTAGACTGTAAGAGCTTAGAGGAGGAAAGCTACTGTGATACTGATGGATCAGGACTTCAGATAAGTCCTCTAGAGATGAATGGATATGAGGATATACATGAATGTCTCGAGGAGTCTAAAGATACTCAAAGTACATATGATAAAACACAGCCTGTGTTGATTACGGAAAACAAAGCTAGTGAAGTAAAACTGACATCTCAGCAGCAAGATTTTGTAAATGAACGGATTTTAGAGGATATTCTCAACACAGAACTTAATAGTCCATCTGATTCAGATAAGAAAGAGCATGTAACGAGTGACTCTTCATACGATAACGGTAAAGATGACTCATTTGAACAGAAGAAAAGGACAAGAAAAAAGTCAAAGGATAAGAAGGAGAATCTAAAACCTGAGTTTAATGTGTCACCACGGGACATAGTTCAACCTCAGCTGTCCCCGGCTGTAGCTGATGCAATAGTTACAACGATGATGGACCAAACCACGAAGAAGAGGTTCTCTGTCGGGAGTGAAGAGGGTGAGGAGGTCTCCTCTTCTCCACGACGACCCAGGTCAGGGGCGCTATCTGTCTGCCTAGAGCCAGAAAATGAGGGTAAGCGATGATGTTGACACAACAGTTAGTAATGTTTGGATGCAATAGGATAAATTGTATTTGAATTAGTAATTAGTACCCAGATGTAATTAATAAAGAGTGCAAACACATTCAGGTTTAAATGATTCTCAAAGTTGCAAGTGAAGACAGATAAAATTTTAAATGAAAGTGTTAATTTTGTAATGTAGAAGAAGGTATTTAAATGTATGTTTGATTTACCTGTAATTTCCCTGTACTTGATATTTTCAGATGGTATTGGAATATCTTCACCCCCCAGTGTAGGGAACAGTCTCGGGGCGCGCAGTGGATGGTCGTCAGATTTTGAACAACCTGCACGACCAACCACCATAGCTTCAATGCCTGTCAGAAATAAATGTAAGGACGTGGAATCAAAACTTTCAGTGATCACTTTATATAACTGTACCTCACCAACAAATCTAAAGATTAAAACTTGTAGGTGTAGTATGTGCTTGCCTTTTTAATACTGTATGTTACCAACAAAACTAAAGTAAATCACTTATTTTCTTTCTGAAACTCACTGATGCATGATTTCCTTGGAGTATGACAGAATTTATTGCTTATGTAACATCCTTCCCCATTTTTATCAGTAGCTTGCAGCACTTTTGGTTTGTAGAAATATATTTATGTGCATCTGAAACCAACACTTCCTTATAGAGGAAAGATCCTGGTTTTTCCTCTCTCCAATTGTACAATACATATATTTGTTTGAAGTTACTATATGCAGACTGTCTTTGTATTTCAGCTGAGAGTTTTAACTCCTTGCTGAAGAATTACACGCCCTCCAGCCAGGTTGCCTCCCCTACGATGGAGGACGTACTCCAGGAACTTCCAGAATGCAGTGACTTCTCTTCATCACCACCACAGGTGGATCCAACATTTTCCACATCTCAGGTGAACTTATTTTTTCAATTTAAAAAAAAACAACTTAAAAGTACTACAGCCTTTGAAAGAAAAGTATACAACTTCCATGTAGTCTCATACCCTGGACATTAGAATGGAATTCCTTAGAATACTCAGTATATAGAGATGACTTGTTATGTATTCTAATATTATTTCCTTCATTATTTCATTCTTAATAATGTCCACTAAGTATATATCCTCTTGATTTTTAAAAATTCATTTATTTGATTTTTAAAAAAAATATTTTGATGCAACTGAATACGTTTTATTTCCACTATGGAAGAGTTATCCTTCTTAGTGCCCTCTTTTGTGAAAAAGTCAGAAAATGTATAAATCTCGCGTGATATCTGGGACAAACATAAGATAAACATGTAAACAATATGTTGAATGTCGATGAACAAATCCTAACAAAATACAAATGAAATGTTTTATTGTTGTGGACTTTATAAACATCAAGAATAGGAAAAACAACGATATCAGTTTATATCCATTGTTGATCGTATGTATCTATTTATCATAAGGTACATACCGCAACGCAATGCTGTCCCAGTCAGACGGCCAAACGCGTCTCTAATTCTGAAGAGTTCACTAATGGAAATAAAATGTATTTTCATATAAAATTCTATGGATTTTTTTTTTCGTTTCCTCCTTTCATTGTTTTGAATGGTCACAATTAAGAAGCCTTTTTCTAGAATTTGTTTGAAATATAGCAGTGAATCTATTGATAGGAACAGAGTATTCAGTTAGTTAAAATTATCTATATATGTATACCAGTATTTAATAGACATCCCATGTTGGAAGTATTGAAAGTCACATTTATTAAATGTTTTCAGAAGAGCTAAGACATTGGTTAAGCCGATCTGTATTTTTTTTATTCAGAGGAAATATAACCTGAAAATAAATTAGCCTTTTTTTTCAATTAAGACTCAACATTGTAGTATGCATAAAAGAAAATTATTCTCTATAATTTTTTATTTACCTATGAATAATAGGTGTATGTGACCATTTTCAAAATATTTTGTTATAAATCTGGAAATGAATGATTGCTTATTTCGAAAAATACTGACTGAATTCAGGAAGAAGATTACGAGATAGTGGGTGACCCAGATTCTGAAGGCTCGGAAAGAGTGAGTGATCAGGGTGTCGCAGAGGCTTGTCTACTAACTTGTTTTTTTGCAGTTCTTCCTCCATTGATTTTGTAACTTATTGCATGTGTGCTTGTTACTTTTCTCTTCTTTCATACATGTAGCATAGAATAAAAGCATCTTTCTTCTTACTGCAGATAATACTGTAATTTTACATACTGGTTTAGTGGAGCTAATCATTTATTTTGAGAATCTTACTGCTTTTATTAAATGATTAAATTCTTAAATTTTCCATTTTTTGTGAATACAATGCAGACTTTGGGACTTGCAATATATTAATATTATAAAATGAGATTAGTTTTGCATATTTCATATTTATAGTAGATGTATTTCAGAATCTAATATTAATACCGGTACTTGGAAAGGGGGAATTCAATGCATATCACTTAAGTCTGTCACTTTTATTGTCAAGTTTGAATAAAACCATCAAATTATACTTACCAAATTTTATAGTCAATATTGTGGATCATTATCTCTCATGGGGCTCAATGTTTAAGGTCAAGAAAAAATTACTCATATTGGGGGAACATAATTTCTTGGTTAAATTTAGGGGGATTGATGAATCAAAAGACTGTACATTGATAAAATTATCACTAAGTCTAATCCGAAGATTTAAATTAGTGGGTAAGGCTTGTCCAAGACATCCATGAACATTTGTTCCCCATGAAAAATAGTGATTCCTAATAATAGTGTATATATTTAGTTTATTAATATTTTAAGGTGCTGTGAATGTTTTCAGTCCTTTTAAGGTAGTCCGATCCTCAGGTTTATAAAATTAGCAGTTATAAGTAATCAAAAATACTCATAAAAGTATCTCTGAATCCACAAAGTTATGTAAATTTATCCACAGTATTTCTTTAAAGTTAAAGATTGAAGTTAATCATATTATATATGGAGAATTATCAAATCTCCAATATTTTTGTAGAAAAAGCGAATTGGAATATCAGCAATGCATTTTCTAATTGCAAATTGATCAGCAAAAATATTTTAGGTTAAAAAACAAAAGGTATCCAGGCATTCAGAGAAATTGTCATGATTTTTATGCTTATTTGGTATTTTTTGTCTTATATATTTTCCTCATGTATTCTTTAATACATAGTGTAAAAGTCTTTTGCTATCATTGCAAGACACCACAAATCACTTCTAATTTCATAACATGTTAATAAGCATTGGTATCTAAGGCTGGGTTCAAGTAAATCTTATTTCTCTAAAACGGTATTAATTTTTTTCCTTTTGTAGGGTACAAATGTCAATTTTTATAAGACCTTTTCTAAGACTTCCAAAAACCTTGAATCGTATACAGATGAATAAAATGAAAATTGTTGCATGAAAAAAAAAATCATTTTCAAGCTTCATAATAATGCATTTTAAATTAAATATTAATTTTTGGAGTTATCCTTCCTGGCTGATGATCGGATATCCTTAAATTTGTTTTGTGTTGTATGAATTATTAGTGCAATTATCTAATAAAAATAGTACAGTGGTACATATGGCACACTTTTTCTTCTTCTGTTTAATATGAGAAATGTAAATCTAATGTAAATTTGACTTAAGTCTATATATCTGATGTTAATGCCATTTTTTTTTTAAGTTAATCTAAAATTTAATATTTTTTTATATGAATTGTACAGAGATCAATGTTTTAATCTTCATTTATTATTGATTTATGATTTCCTATTTAAGGACTCTCAAAGCCAGGCCTCCTTGCTTGGGGTGATAGCCAATGAGAAAGGACTGGACGCCCAGAATTACCAGTGTGGCAGCTGTAAACGACCAATTGGATTCAGTAAGACATTTTCTCTTCATTTTACAGGAATATAGATAAAGGTATTTCATCCCATGTTTACCCCTTTATCCCGTGGATATGACTCACTGGATATTTTTTTTGAAATCCCACACTTAAGTGCAGTTATGACATCACAGTGTGTTAGTGTGATTAAGTAAAATAAAGTGGAGTTCTATATAAAACAAAGGAAACCATTGGTTATGAAGTATAAAACATGGGATAAAAAGAATCTCCCATGATTTGTAGTTGGATATGACTTTTATCCAACTCGTTGTGTGTTTTTATCCCCCTACCAAGGCTCGGGGATAAAAAAAAAACACAACTCGTGTGATAAAAATCATATCCAACTACAAATCATGGGAGATCCTATATTTTCCTTATACTTGCATCACACATTTAAATGGTATTCTGTTTTTACTTTAGTTTATGGAAAACCTCGGGTTTGCACGTTTGATGGGAAGTATTACTGCTTCGAATGTCATGAAAATGAGGAGTATTACATTCCAGCCTTTATCATTCACAACTGGGACTTCCGGAAGCATATAGGTACAATCTTTTCTATGATACAATACAAACCTGTGTAAAACTTATAAGTTAAAATATCAATACAGTAAAACACGATTTAAAGGAAGTGCCAGGGACCTGCAATTCTGCTTCATTATAAGCATAATTTGTTGTATCTGTTATTAATTGTCCAATATCGATTTTTATATCCTCAGTTTCCAAGAAGTCCCTGACCTACCTACAAGACATTGAGGACCATTCCATCATTGATGTTTCTGTTGTAAACCCCCGTTTGTATGAACATATCAAAGAAATGGATCAGCTACAGGTTTAAGTTTCTATAAGTACCCTCCCTCCCCAAGAACAATGATTTTTACTCAAAATATTCTTACTCGGTAACCACCGAAAGTAATGCTGGTGTACTGATTTTCCTCACATTTCTCAACAGTGATGCAGATATATTGATAAAACTTAATATTTTCAAACATATTTAACAGGTGTTACGGAAACAACTTTGTCATTTGAAGACGTACTTATTCACATGTAAACAGTCGACTGCAGATGAATTCAGAAAGAGCATGTGGCCAAAGGAATACTTATACGAGGGCATTCATACTTATACATTAGCTGTGAGTGCAAAATAAAGCAAATCTGATTTTTGTTCTGCATGCAGATTGTCTATTTTGTAACCTTATTTTTGAATGCAAAATGAGGTGTTCATATTGATAAACTAAAGGTCATTCTATTTATAGGATCTGCTACAAGTGCCCTCAGGTCAGCTGACACAGAGTCTGAAGAAGTCCATTAAGTTTGCCACAAAGCATGTGTATGAGTGTCCCCTGTGTAGTGGGAAGGGGTTCATCTGCGAGCTCTGTCACAATCCTAAAGTCATTTATCCATTCCAGACAGATGATACAATCAGGGTAGGTTCTTTATAATTACAGAGTTATGCCCCTTTATGCAGTTTCTTCATAATTTTGCACAACAAATCCAATTAACCAAAATAAACAAAAAATTTAAACACTGCACCTACCTCAATTAAACTTGTAAATATTTTTTAATTCAGATAAAAGTAGAAAAGTATGGTGGTACATGTACTATAAATTTTTCAGACATAGACTTCCTGTTTTATATTTTCAGTGTACCAAATGTAAGTCTGTGTTCCACAAATCCTGCAAGTCTGATTCCAAGTCCTGTCCCAAATGTGCTCGGAGAAACAAGAGAAAATCACAAACAGGGGACTGCCTGGAGACCCCTGATATCCACGATTATGCTTTTACCCCGCAACTTGTTGCTTGACAGGAATTTCCTATCTGTCGTTATTGATCAACCTGCTGATATCCAGATGGGAAAATTATACATAAATCAGCTGATTTTATTTTACATGTATTAAATACTCATTTTATAACCATGGATCAAAAACATAACATAGCACTGTTTATAAATATTTCAATGAAAAAGTTATTTTAGAAACAAATATACAGTGCCTTTAACATTTTGTACATTTTAAGAGACACATCTAGAGTTAATGGTGGTGTTTTTATTGCACATTTTATTGTAAAAATTTTATTCCTTTGTTCAAATTTTAAATTAATATTTTATTTGTCACATCAGCTTTAGACTAAATTACCTCCATATGTATAGTAAAATTGTTTTAAAATACTTTTACCTAGTACGTGTGCAATCTGAAAGAAATATCCGTAGTATTTTAAACTTTGTTCAGGGTTTGCTTGCCCAGAGAAAATAAAGCAAATGTCACTTGTAACAAGTTTCTTGTAGGTATATTTGATGGGTCAGTAAGGTACACATCTTTACAAGAATATCAAGATATCTCAATGAATTAACTCTGTAGTCATCTTTTGAAACCCTTGGCCAATCTTGCATACGCTTTAAAATTGCAAGATTAGCTGTGGATTTCCCATGATGCTCTGTAGTGTGAGTAAACTTCTGATTAGCCAGTGCAATATAAAGCAAGTAATTGTGCTACTGTGAACAATTCTTTGTTATTAGGTCACCTGAGTCACTCAGGTGACCTATTGCCATCCGTGTTTGTCCGTCGGCGTCCGTCGTCCGTCGTGTGTTAACATTTGAACATTTTCAGCTTCTTCTCTGAAACCGCTAAACCAATTTCAACCAAATTTTGTATACAGCATCTGTGGATGAAGGGGAACAAAAAAAATTGTGAATTTCATGGTCCCTGCCCCCCTGGGGCCTGAGGGGTGGGGCCAAAACCACTAAAATTAATGCAATCTTTAAAAATCTTCTTCTTTACTCCTGGACATCAAGCAGTCAAACTGTTTGCATGATTGTAATCAGCAATGAGTCCTCTACCAAAATTGTGAAATTCATGGCCCTGGGGTCAGGGGTTCTAGTGCTAGGGCGGGGCTAAATAAGTAGGTAGTGAAAATGCATTATTTCTTTGAAAATCTTCTTCTCTGCTCCTGGGTATTAAATAAACCAACTAAGTACATAGTTATGATGAGCAAGAGTGCCTCTACCAAAATTGTGAATTTTATGGCCCCAGGGTCAGGGGTTCTGGTGTCAGGGCGGGGCTCTATTGATTATATAGTGAAAATACATGAATTCTTTGAAAATCTTCTTCTCTGCTCCTGGGTATTAAATAAACTAACTAAGTATATAGTTATGATAAGCAAGAGTGCCTCTACCAAAATTGTGAATTTTATGGCCCCAGGGTCAGGGGTTCTTGTTTTAGTGTGGGGCTCTAATGATTATATAGTGAAATGCATGAATTCTTTGAACATCTTATCCTTTGCTCCTGGTTAATATGGTAATGATCTAATTACATATTTAAGGCCAGGATTTATTTTGTTTTCAGTTTTACAAACCTTCTGCTCAAGGTTTTGAATTTTCAGAAAAAAATAAAAAAAAAATTTCCGATGTCAAATTTGAGTCGGGATCGAGATTTCAAATTTACGAACTCGCACTTCCGGTTTTACGATGAAAAGCTAGATCTGAGAAGATAGCTTGGTTTAGTGTAAAATTCATCGATAAGAGTGCCATTCAAAACGTTTCACCCGTTCAAAGGACAAATAAAATGCTGACGACTTTGTTGCACAATGACATGCTGGTGAGATAATTATGTATTTGTTTCAAAAGTATCTGTCTGTAAATTATAGGGATGTCAATTTTATTTGGACAGCTTAGTTGAATAGTCGGATGCTTTAGCCGAACGATAGTCGAATATTCGTTTAATTTTAATTATTTTTTCATAGCATTTTCACTGTTTGTCTTTTACTGACTAGTTTACAATATTTAATCTACCTTATCACCATTATACAACAAATTTCTGAATTGTTAACATGTACATAGTACAATAAAAACTGTACATCAATATGTACATGTACCCAGTGTATTTAATTTCAAAATTAATATATTAGCTGCACATTTTATCTAAATGCAGAATATCAAACGCTCGTATTTGTCCTTTCTTTACATAACGGTAGTACATGTACCCCATAATTGAGGCCAATTTCTACGTGTCTGTCAATTATCTTTGACAGGTAAACAATTAAAGCGTGTCTCTTATAAAAACAAAGAGAGGGCGAGAGCTTGGGATAAATTTTCATTATGAAATTTTGTGCAAACAATCAATGATTGTGTGAAATTAATATCAGAAGAAGAAAACACGGTTTAATTAATCTCATAACTGACCCCAGTTGACATGTATTTACAATTATGTAATAGCTATTTAATTAGAATTCTTTCTGAATAGTTGAATCACATCAGATCTTAGTTAGGATCTACAAAACTAAACAATTGCCCTCTCCATTTAAAACAGTAAGAGGTAGACAATCATTAATACCGTAAATCTGGAAATTTTTACGTCAATTTTATTTTGCGAATCTGGGTCAAAATGCTATTGATTAATTTTTGTGTTTCAAAATTTTGCGAATGACCACTTCTTTGTTTACATTTTCTTATTGTTGAATTATTTTTAAGAAAAATATTTTTGCGAATGCCATGAATTCGTAAATTTGCTAAAAATTTATCTACAGCAAAAATTTCCAGATTTACGGTAATCATGTTTGTAGTTTTTCTATCCCACTCAGCTTTTTTTTCAATTTTGCGGAGAACTTACTTTAGGAAAATTTCACTTGAAGACTGTGTATATGTTTGACTGATTCGGCATATGATACATCATGTTTAATGTTACACTGCGCTGCAGAATAAAAGTTCAGATTCACATAACCTTGATATCACTGTTTACTTTTTTTAAGCTTTACCAAAACTGTAGATTTTGAAGACATGTTTGCCGAACATACATCGACGTACAAACTTTGAACAGTTATACCATACCCTTAATTTTACATATGAAAATATTGATCTGTAAATAAATGAAATGGGCAAGTATAAGTTTATTGCCTTGAATTCAAAATTACTTTGATGAAACACATTTTTAACGAATAATCGACTAAAGAAATTTTAGTCGATAGTCGGTAGGATCGAACGATAGTCGAGTACTCAAATATTCGTTGACATCCCTAGTAAATTATTTTCCTTCCCCAGGTTTTAAACTGCCCGTGGTAGCTATTGCATATTGCCAGCGACATTGTTTAGGTCTCTGTTTAGCTTACAGTATCATTCTTCAGAAAAGGGTTGCTTATGCATCAGATGTAATGAATAAAACTATGGGAGAAGTTAAGTCCATTTGAGGAAGAAATAAACAATAACCTGAAGAAATAAAAAAAAAATTCAACTATTAAAAGGCAAGAATAATTATATACAAATATATACAGGCATGTAGTATCATTTGTATCAGCCAGAAAAATTATTTCACACTTAATTGAAAAAATGTTCACCCTACTCCCCAATACTCCCTGTCTGTTTTATGATAGGAATTATAATTTAAGGCATCAAGTAAATTTTAGAACAATGTCTACACATTCACCTAACACATATTAAAAAAATGTAGTTATATTGAAAGACTTTTAAAGAATTGATTTTTTAAAATATATTTTGATCAACATCACAAAATTTATATAATTGGCCCAAACTGGCAGATGATGAAATAAGCAATTAAATGTTCTACTTTCCTATTTGTAAGCATTATGTGTCCAGTGGTAAGGAGCCTATTGGGCTAGCATAAAGAAGAATGTACAAATGTTAATAATTCATTTATCAAATTTTTTTTTTTACTTCCTTCTCCTTCGGGACTTTTTTATTCTCATGTTCATAACTAAACCTAAATATAAAAAAATGCTGGCCTTATAATGAAGAAAGGTGCCTCTTTCAAAATAGATAATTTCAGGGCCGCTGGGTCAGGGGTACCATGGGGTACTTTGACTAAAAATAAATTAATGCTTTGAAATCTGACTTTTGATAAGCAATGGTGCCTCTTTCAAAATTTGTGAATTTCATGGCTTTTGGATTAAAACAGGAACCAAATACAATCGCTGGAAAGTTGTTACATGGTACTCAGGTGACCTATAAGGCCCGTGGGCCTCTTGTTTTATTATAAATATATATAAATAAACATTTTTGTATTTATTTTTTGTAGTGTTTTTAATTTGAGAAGACTTTTCAGTAAACCATTTACAAGTCTTATTTTCTAGTATAATTCTTACAGAATGTCATGAGCTCATAAACATATGTGATACAAATGCTCATTATTAAAATCTTGTCTCTTAAATAAGAAAGAAAAGCTATGTCAACTTCCTGAGTATGAACGACGCTGGCATTTTTATGCCCCGCCATGAATATGGCTGGGGCATATAGTGTTTGTCATGTCTGTCCTTCTGTCCTTCCGTCTGTCCTTCCGTCACACTTTGCATTTAGCTCTGTTCAAAGCTTAATTTCAAAGAAACTATCCAAGGTATTTTCATAAAACTTCATATGCTGATAGATATTGATGAGAGCTTTGCAACTGCATCAACATATTTTGACCTTGACCTTTCCTTTGACCTTGAGCTCACTTTTCTTAAATTAGTGTTTAGCTTAGTTTTAAACATACTGTTCAAGATGGTACTATCAAACATCACAAGTTAATACATACTGATGAGAGCTATGCAACTGCATCTCCATTTTTAACCTTGACCTTTCCTTTGACCTCTTGACCTCACTTTTCTCAAATAAGTGCTTTGCTCAGTTTTAAAGATACCATTCAAGATAGTGTTATCAAACTTTATATACTGATACATACTGAAGAGACCTATTTAACTACATCAACATATTTGACCTCGACATTTCCTTTGACCTTGACCTCACTTTTCTTAAATTAATGTTTAACTCAATTTTTAAGAAACCATCCAAGATATTTTTATCAAACTTCATTAGCTGATAAATACCGGTACTGATGAGGGTTATTCAACTGCATCAACATTTTGACCTTGACCTTTCCTTTGACCTCACTTTTCCTAAATCAGTGTCAAACTTCATATGCTGATATATACTGATGTAAGCAAATTGCCATACACCATACTGGTGTAGCATGGGCT